CTCGGTCGCCTTCGTAATCATCGTTCGCTTCCTGTACTAACGGAAGTCCAGTACCCAGCTCTCCAGCCCCGTCGACATGTTCCGAACCTAGCCCCGCTTCCGCTCAACAACCAACAAGCCAATCCCGCGAGTATCCAAATGGTTCCCAACAGTCGGACAGTTCAGCATCGTCTCGCTGTTGCTGCGGCCCAGCCAATTCCAGGTTCATCCACCGCCCCTTGTTTATCATACGCTGGTGCTGTCTCAGGTGAATCTGTCGACGATTATCCGTTCACCTCGGAGGAACTTGTGACGCTCGTGGCCGAGGTCATCATCATCATGCGTACCTGCAAGACTCGATCTGAACAGCTTCATGCTGCCTTGTCACTCGTCACCAAGTATGGACCGTGAAGCTATAAAAATTGCAAATTGGAACGCTTGCTCACTGACGAACAAGCATAGAGAGCTACTCGATTTCCTCAACGCCAAGGAGGTCGACATTGCTATCATCACCGAGACGCATCTGAACCCCGAACTGAACGTATTCCTACCCGACTTCCGGCTCGTCAGACTTGATCGCACCTGCTCTGGAGGTGGAGGAGTGGCCATCGCTGCAAGACGGAACATCAGTTGCCGGCTGCTACCAAACTTCCAGCTGAAAACAATTGAAGCCATCGGAGTGGAGGTGAGCACATCACTTGGCCCAATCACGATCATCGCGGCCTACTGCCCCAAGCAAACCAACATCAGGGAAGGGTCGTCAGTGGCCCTCCGCAAAGACATCATCAAACTCACCCGGAGGAGCGGGAACTTTATCATCGCTGGCGATCTGAACGCAAAACATCAAGCTTGGGGCAACGGTCGGAGCAATAGAAACGGCATCATCCTCAATGAAGACCTGCAAGAGGGCCACTATACCATCTTGGCCCCGGACTCTCCCACCCGGTTGAGTCGGTCTGGGGTCCATGCGACCATCGACATCTTCGTAAGCAACATGGGACACAACGTCTCGCAACCTGTGGCATTCCAGGAGCTGACCTCGGACCTCTACCCGTTGGTGGCCGAAGTTGGATCCTCGGTAAACCGATTCGAAGCTTCCCGGCGCAACTACCATCGAGTCAACTGGGCGCAATATCAACACTGCGTCGACACAACCATCGACTACGATGTCCAACCGGGGACGTCGGAAGATGTTGACCGGTGTCTACAAACCATCAAGGAGGCGATTTCCCGGGCCAGGGAACAACACGTGCCAGTATCCAGACAGGTGAGTAATACTCTGAACCTTGACAGCCCTACCAAAGATCTCATTAGACTCCGTAACACCATTCGTAGGCAGTACCAGCAACAATCAATACGAAACTAACGATTTTAAATTGGCTCACCACTTTAGTAGCCTATTGGTCCCAAGCAAACGATTAACGTACCCTATTCTAGTTGAAATTCTATTACTACACTATGTTTGTTTTGATTCGCTATGAAAGTTTGACAGATAACATCAGGGGTGTGTGGATTCATGCAGAACATGCAGGGGTGAGTGAAATAGCTTGGGACTGCTTGGGACCGTTGTTCTGGTACTGAGTGAGCCAAAAATAATAATGATTTTCTTCGGGACCCAGTGGTCTTAGAGTTACCTCTATGGTACCAGCGTACTGGCCTGCCTAACTTGAAGACCAATTGTAATCGATTAACAAAGATCATTCAGGCCAGGATGGTGGATCTCAGAAATAACGATTTTGCTAGTAAGATCCGCTCTCTCCCAGATTGTGCTAAGCCCTTCTGGAAACTTACAAAAATTCTTAAAAACAAGCATAGGCCCATTCCCCACTGACCCCACTGGATCGTCCCGGCGACCCAGTGGTTCATCTGAAAACTCCTGAAGAGAAGGCTGCTGCGATAGGTCAACACTTCGTCAGCTCCCATAATCTCGGACAAAACATCGTCAGCCCTCATGAATCTGAGGTTGCTGAAAATGCAACCAATCTTCTTCAGATTCCTAACATTTTTCCAGAGGAATCCGAGATTACGGCTGACGAACTGTTGGCCTATATCAAATCATCTAAAAACATGAAGGCCCCAGGTTTCGACAACATCCTGAATCTGGAACTCAAACACTTGAGTTCCAGATTCTACAACCATCTACAACCAACCACTGATTTTTAATCAGTGCCTCAGGCTTGGCTACTTCCCCTCGTGTTGGAAGTCAGCTAAAGTCATACCCATCCGGAAACCTGGGAAGGATCCGTCCTCTCCTTCAAGTTATCGACCAATCAGCCTTCTCTCAGGGTTATCAAAACTGTTCGAAAGAGCACTGTACTACTGGCTCCTAACATCTGCCGATGAAAACAACTTGTTACTCGAGGAACAGTTTGGTTTTCGGAAAGGTCGTTCGACCGTCCACCAGCTGACTCGAGTAACAAACATTCTCAGACGGAACAAGTATGTTTCGAAAACATCTGCCATGGCGTTGTTGGACGTTGAAAAAGCATTCGACAATGTCTGGCATGATGGCCTGGTGTTCAAATTGCAGCAGTACGGTCTTCCAATCTTCCTAGTGAAGATCATAAACAACTATCTATCAGACAGGACGTTCCGAGTCTCTCTGAATGGCATGTCATCGGATGCTTTCAACATCGGTGCCGGGGTTCCACAAAGAAGCATTCTTGGCCCCATCCTATTCAACCTGTTCACCTCCGATATGCTGGCTCTCCCTGATGGTGGATCGTTGTCTCTGTTCGCAGATGACACATCCATCGTCTACAAGGGTAGGGTCATCGGAGCTCTGACTGCCAAACTTCAGAGAGGCCTGGACGTTCTGTCTGAATATTTCAACAGCTGGAAGATCCGTATCAACGCGGCAAAGACCCAGGTCATTATCTTTCCACACTCTAAATCTCCTAGACTTGTTCCGTCTGAGAATAACAAGATCTGCCTGAACGGCACAGTGGTGGAATGGTCCAAAGAGGTCGTGTACCTCGGGCTAACACTAGACAGCAAGCTTCTTTTCAGGGAGCACGTTGACAAAATAAAAACCAAGTGCAACATCTTGATAAGATCGTTGTATCCACTTATCAACAGGAAGTCAACCCTGTCCCTGAAAAATAAGCTTGCTGTCTACAAACAAATCATCCTTCCTGTAATCGAGTACGGTATGCCAATCTGGGAGAGTTGCGCAAAATGCCATCACCTTAAACTCCAAAGGATCCAGAACAAGATCCTTAGGATGGTCCTAAACAGTCCCCCGCGGACTAGAAATTCTGAGATCCACTTCCTGGCTGGAATTCAAACATTAGAAGAACGGAGAGTATTCATCCTGGAAAGGTTCAGAGATCAAATCATCAGATCATACGTGATCTAGCACGTTAGGTTAAGTTATACTCGTAGTTAGGTAGGTTATCACTTTTTTCAATTCAAATTAAACACATCCCCAAAGGGATATTCTGTAAACTAGTTGAAAAACGCAAATATTAAATTAGAATATCAAATTAAACAAAGATGAAGAGCCAAGTAGGCTAATCAATTAAAATGATAAATCAATGTACTACCATAATCAACAGAAATAAACATAATTTTACTACTATGGCATAAGCTCATTTTGGCTTCGGACGGCGTGGTGAACAGCAATAGCAGCAACAGGAAGGTGTTGGCTAGTCCACTCATTCACACCTAACAAGCAACAATTGACTGGTCGTGGCAAAGGAGGAAAAGGTCTGGTAAAGGAGGCGCCAAGCGTCATCGCAAAGTTCTTCGAGATAACCGCCATCGGTCGTCTAGCTCGCCGTGGTGGTGTCAAACGTATCTCCGGTCTGATCTACGAGGTGTGCTGAAGGTGTTCCTGGAAAATGAGGTCCGTGATGCTGTCACCTACACTAAACACGCCAAGCGTAAGTGGCCATAGATGTCCTCTACAATAAAACGGCCCTTTTCAGGGCCATAAAGCTTACATCAGTAAAGAGTTGGAATAGAATTTATCTCTGCTTGTTTGTCCATATTCAGAACCACAAGCCCCCAACAACCACACTAAATGCTCTCCAGAGTTGTAATCTTGTAACCAAACTTGGAAGCAAAGGTGCAAGTGATTTTGATTGATTCTCTTAATCAACTTTCTCTTTGTAAAAGATTACTACAAATTTGGTACGCCTACAATTCAAAATCGAAACGAGTTGAGATAATATAAAATTGAATAGAATGGAATGAATGGAATAGAGAATAGAGTTTAAAATACGGTTCTCTGAAAAAATCGAGAATAACATTCTCCTAAATTTGTTCTACATAAGAAATAAATTATCGGGAAGGGGGGAGTAAAATGTCCATAGTGGGCAAAATGTGTCTCCCTTTTATCTCAGTTGCTAGTTGATATGATAGCTTGCTGCCTTACCACGCCTTACGTTGGACTTTTAACGTACTAGGGGAAACAGCCCTATTGTTGCGGTACGTTAGCAGCGTTAGAAGCCTATTGTGATGTATGGAGGTCTCCATACACAACAATAGGCTTCTGACGTACCGCAACGATAGGGCTGTTTCCCCTATGGAAGCAAAAAGCTGTTTAATGAAAGTCATTTGAAAACAATTTTGGCAGTAAACCACGCAAGCTATTACTTGAAACTAAAATCATCCAACTAAATTAGGCAACGAAATTGTTACGTGAACTGCGGTAACTGTCACTTTGTAAATAAACAGTTACATGCTTCGCTTCGCACAGGTTCATGTCCTGGCTACAAGCCGACTATATTTTGCGCATGTGTCATGTGTCACCAATGAGCTGGATTACCGAGGTGAAGCAATCACTCACACAACCACTGTACGATACACGCAAGTACACGCAAGTAGTGACGTCACTACTTGCGTTTACGTTGATTTTTTGGTTTACTAATACAACCCTATTTCACGATCTGCTTCACCTCTCTCTGTACCTCATTGATGTGTCACCTCGTATCTGCAGCCAATGAGCATACCTTGGAAAACTTTATACATTACCAACAACATAGTACAGTAAACATTTAAACTCGTTGTAGGTAAATAACATTTCAGGACGGGAACAGATGCAAAACATTCAACAATACAGTAGTTCGGAAAGTGATGGCGACGATGAAAATGATGACCCTCAGAGCGATTTCCACAGAAAACTACCTCCTTCCAGAGAAGTTTTACAACTTGCGAAAACCTCGAGCACGCCGGCTCCAGAAGACAACCCCTCGCACCATCAAGGCAGAGTTAGATCGTTCGCTCACGAACGAGGCATTTGGGCCAGTTATGTGTTTATAGATTGTAGGTGATATCATTAAAACCAGAGTAACTTTTATATTCACTCAGCTGTTTCTTTCAAGATAACGAAATTGATGCGTTTAATGATCTACAACAGCAAATAATCGACAAAGCTTCCGAAGACTTAAATCTGAATCTGAACCGGGTGGATAATCTTCATCTAAGCTTGACCAAAACATTTGTTTTGAGACATCACAATATAGCGGCATTCGTTGGAAACGTGCGTTCAGCGATCGGCGAATGCAAAAGGTATATTGAAGCTCAAAATACCTCGACCGATAATTTAACACTGAAAGATTTATTGCAGATTCCCGATAATTCTATCCGATCTAGCCATATACACCAACGAAGAGAATACAAGAACTTTTCTAGCCGTTAAGGTAGCCGATCACAGTTATGGGTCGCTCAGCTCATTGGTTGAAAAATTGGACAGTTGTATGAAGGAGTACAAACTGCCGGTGTTCTACGCGGATCCATCGTTTCACATCAGTATCCTTTGGTGCCTTGGAGATCAACGGACAATTTTGGAGGAAAAATGTTCATCGTTGCAGCAAATTTTTACTGCTATCTATGAAGAGGAGTGTTGTGATATGAACGTTAGCGTTAGGATGTTAAAGTTTAAATGTGGGAATAAATTCTACTCGTTTGATTTGTTGTAAGAAAAGCGTGTTGATGATGATGTGGGTGAATAATGTGTTTTTTTTTTCCTTCAATTTGAGACTACTACTAAAATTTAATTATTCTGAATTTGGATCATTCTGGAAAATAGTTGCCCCTATTCCCGGTTTAAAATGCATTGCATGTGTATACAATCTTATTGTTTTTTTTTTTTTATGATTTCCCCAAATTGATTGCTCTTATGCGACTCCACCGTGCCCAAGACAGGAGCAGGTAATTTCCCAGGGGGACGACACTTCAGGATTATCCCATTTTTACCCAAATTACTCCTAAAATTTTCAACGTGCACAAAATTTCAATCCATCCTATTTATCCTTTCTATTCCCAACTTATCCCTTCTGCATGCACACAAATCATCAAGCAAGCCGTGCAGTTTTCAGGTCGATCGCGAAGCACTGTCAGTTTTTTTAACGATCTCCATAATAAACAAGGTGTTAAAAAAAATTTATATGCGTTGAGTCGTTCAAGGTGGCGATTGTCCTGGTGAAGCTGATGGAAATGAATTAGGGAATGAATAGTACGAAGGTAACCACCACGTATATCTATGCTGAAGGCCAAGGATGAAGTGATCTCTCGATTGAATTCCCGGGGGAGCTTAAATTAAAATAGATGACGGACCACTCGTCTATAATTTGTCGCGGGGGCAAATTCATCAAGCGTCATAGAGGAGACAAAAAAAATGACAAATGAGAACATCTGAAATAAGAAACTTGTAAATCGTTAAACTGTTTATTTTTTAATCTGAATTTGAAAGAATTAATGAAACAAACTCTATTCAGTCCAATGGAAATGAAAAGAATCATAAAATTGAAACTGAACCCCAAATTTTCAAACGTTGAATGTGAAAATTCACAGATTTTGAGTGGTGCCAGTATTGCACGAATCCGACGATATATCTCGCTCTCTCATGTGTGGAGAGTCGATCGAATTTTATAGGGCAGGTGTGGGATGAGCAGTGAAGCGGAAAATAAGGAAAAAGCCGGGAATTTAAATGACAAATCGGAAAAAAATAACTTCATCTATTTTTCAAAAAAAATATATTTTGGGGCTTTGAAAAGTTTTAAGATTCTTGGACCAGACTAAACTTTTTTGGAATTTTGAGTAGATTTTAGAATGAATGTCAGAGATAACAAGTCATTTCAGATAATATTAAAGATAGTTTTAGAAAGCGCTCTAAGAGATTTTAGACTTCCACTCCAAGTCACTTTTGTGCGTTCAAATTCAGGGTAGAATTTTTAAGTTAATCTGTGGATAATTGCAAATCGGTTGTGAAGATCACAGTATCATGACCGGACCGAGGTTTCCAGCCTCGGTAACGGCTACATGAATCCGCGATGCTGCTATTTCTGTAACTGCTACCGCTTCTGCTGGCTTTCACAAATTTCGTTTGCGTGTTTAGAATTAAAGGTTTTTGCAGTTTCGTCGTGGAATCGATACATTCTATTAGTAGAGGGCTTTTGTAGTCCAGCTGTCACTATCCAAACATTATTTTTCACTGAGCATTGACTAAAATGGCTACTTCGATGTTTTTCTTTCGTACTGTTTCATTTCAGTTGCACGCATCCCCATGACAATTTAAAGCACCCTCGCATCCAATGCAATCCCATTAGGAATCCCATATTATTTTTTCTATCCTTACTCAATTTTCGTCAAGACGACAAACTGAAAAAACTCTCTTCAATTACATTTTATTTACAGGCAAACATGGTCAAATAGAATTCATCTGAATGAGTGTCGTTGCCCAAGACAGGAGCAGGTAATTTCCACTTTTTATCAAACAATTAAAAAAAAGAAACTTCACGGCTGTAAAAATCATAGCGTGGTGTTGACTCACTCTGCGCGAGAACGTTGGTTACTCAAAAGTGAGTAAAAGTACGCCTACTCACTTTTGATTTGTCATACTTCCCACTGAAATGAGCATGTTCGACTCAAGTTTGAGTTGTTGCGAGTTACCGTGTACGTGAAAAAAATAAAATTCAGTGTCAACATTTCAAAGGGACGTAATTGCATTTGTAAACAATAAGAGCATACTCATGAAGATTATTGACACCAGCAAGTAGAATAATGTTTCCTTTACCAGCTAGCATTGTTAATTTGAAGGGATGGGCTCTTATTTGCAAGAAATCGATAGCTCAAGCCATTGTTTACAAAAGCAATTACGCCCCTTTGAAATGTTGGCACTGAATTTCTTGCACATTATTTTAAAACTCCCGAAATTTGGGTTAGAATCAGCCCTGTGGCAGGCGCATAGGCAACATGTTATACCGTGTGTTATTTTACTGTTGTAGGATCCTGGAATATGATTCCACGAATGATGCAGATGTAGTTTTAAGATCTTTTTCGGATTTTGTTGAAAATTTTGTATATCAGAATAATAAAAACTCGTAAGCATATTCAAAATCATTGTATCATACCCGAGATAATAGCACAAACGAAGTGACAGACGGAGCGGCTCGAAAACTTTAGAGACGCACGTGTTATTGCAATTTTTCAGTGTACCACATGGCAACACCACTACTACTGGATTGTACCACATGGCAACACTACATGTACTAGAATGTTTTGGTTTTTTTTTTTATCCATTAATTTATTTGTAAGGCTCAAACGCGTTAGCTTTACGGAGCTGTTTCTTACAGTTTTTCATTAATTTGAAATAAAAGAGTTTATAAAATTAGTTCATTTTTTCCTAGAAGACGGTTGTTTGGTGTTAACTTTCTCTCGCGGCCGCAGTTTTCTTCTTTCTTCCGTTTTCTGTGTTTGATTAGCAGTTTTCAATTTCTTCGCGATCAAGAACAATGGATGGCTTTCGGTTTCGAGCTGACTTCCTCTTGCTGCTTCTTGTTCTTCTTCCATGTCCGGGGTCGTCTCATCGATTGCCATAACTTCTTCATCGAACACCTCAATAGCATCCCCTGAAGCATCACCGGCTAAAACACCCGCATATGATGTACAGGTATCCACGCTGCTAACACTTTGGGCTTCGTCCGGGTCACGTTTTTCCGTATCCGTCGTTTGTTGTTTTTCGAGCTTCCTGCGAGGTTTCCGCTTTGGGCAAGAATTCATCTGGTGCCCTTCAATCTTGCAAACAAAGCACACATTCTTGTTCCCGGGATAGAACACGTTTCCTTTACGGTTGAGGAAATGCAGTGATGTAGGAATTTCCTTCTTAACATCCATATATACACCGCGGATGCCAGTGTATATATCAAAACCTAACTCGAGAGGAAATTTCTCCCTAACCACACGTTTCACCTTGCCGTATTTCCCCAGCACCAATGCTAGGTTTTTGTCAGGCACTTCAGGAGGCAGATCGTACACTCTGACATACTGAATGTATTCATCCGCATTCAACATGTGTACCTCTACTGCCTTTCCATCGTCATAACGGAAAGTTAATTGTTCACTGTTATTCATCAATGTGTGACACATTGCCTCTTCGACCTTGAATTTAATAAACAAGGATTTCTCCTCTGCTACCCTGTATATAGCTTCCATCTGCATAGGATCCGCATCCAGAGTCTTCGCAAAATTAATAATTTCGCCCATCGACGGTTTTCTAGCTCCATCGCCAAAGCTAAATTTGACGGTGTTTTTAACTTCAACTCCATTCATTCTTGATTCTATCCACAGGATTCCACACACGGCTAGCTAACTGCGGATAAACAATGTGCGCAACACACAATAGCTTGGTCGAAAAACAGACTGCCGATAGCACTATCGACACCGAAAACAAATGCTGCTGTGTCCGTCCACAGCTGAAAGCGAACTGAGAATGTTTTGGTTCTATCTCTTTTACTCTACTCTAAACTGAAATGCATAAAAAAAATGACAAAATGATACACTCTTTGCACACTGTCAAAGATCATATTGCACACAAAATCAACTATATTCAAATCAATTTTTGTTTCACCCATCTGGTGGCTGATAGCACAAGCTTCTAAGAAAATTCTATTACAGCAAACCTCATTATTTTAATTGATTTCTTCGCCAGTTAGTCGTCTGTCACTTCGTTTGTGATAATAGCTCGTAGTTCAGTCCCGCAGCGGTGTTCAACAAAAATACCTTTCCGGAATGGGACTCAACATCAGCAGCATGAGCAGGAGCAGGTGGAGAAAGCTGAGGAAGAACGGGAGGCTGATGGTCTGATAACTAGGTGCGACCAGCCACTGATTATAGCTAGAATTTGAAAAAAAAAATAACAAATCATAAGTTTGACTCAGTTTGCTTGTAAGCCTACAAAAGTGAGGTTAGATTTTGCGATGGCCTGCAAGCGAGAGAGTTTTCATTTTGCTTTGTTTTGGGTTTCTAATCACCATTCTTATTAGTCGTTGTTCTAATTGAAGAAATTTTAATTCACTTATCACTAAATAATTTTAACATGTAAACAAACACTCAGCGTCAGCGTTGCTGCTCGTTACTTTCAAAGATAAAGCACATCAGTGACAACATTTTAAACCAAAATTAGGTAGAAATGCCGTAAATACTTGAAAACGCACTATACTCATAATCTTAAGTATCGTTATTTATCGTTCAATATTACCGATATTTTGAGTTTTACTACCAGCACCTAATTTTAGGTCAAATTAAAACCTTATTTTAGGTATTCTTATCTTAGCGTACTATGCAATACTATTTTTAAAGGAGTCAGTGTATAATATCGTTGAAAATTCAGTAGAAACGATAAAATAATCTCAATTTAACTTTGAAATTCATAGAAAAATATAGAAATAACCTCATAGGACGTTTTGACAAGTCGCGTTGTACATCGGTCATGTTACATTCGACGATTTTTCTCACTGACATAATCAATGAGTGTTACATTGGACGTTTTGATCTATACATGATACTAGATTCCCTCTCACAGATTTCATAGTAGAATACCTAACTTTAGATTGGCTCCGCCTTTAGAAAACGAGCACCAATCATGTTAGTCAGTCCGAATGACCGAAGTAACAATCATGTATCCATCATTTCAAACTGTACATTGGACAATTTTTGAGCTAAGATTTTCTTAAATAAATGAAAGTAAATTTGGATGGGTGTTTTTGTATCACATGCAATGATAGAAGAGCAATGGTTTGTATCGCTTAACTCTATTTGTTTACATTTGTTACATTGGTCGATTTGAAAAGCTACGCGAGAAGTTATTTAACAATTGCACGGCGAATGAGAACGACCCAAATTTGAGTTTAGTTCACTCATAATCGCCAAAAGTGAAGGAACTCAGCGATGAGTAAATTTGCCTCATGTTTTCCCAGGTTTTTCCAGGGAAAAATTTCCGAATTTGAGAAAAGTAAAGATTGGATTCACTCAGTCTATTGGTACTTCTCCGAGACTGAATAAAATTTTCGTCAATTTCCTCATTTTCCGGCAGATTTTTTAGATTTTCCACAGGAAACCATGAGACAAATTTTACTCATCGCTGAGACTCAGCGGCTGAGTTCCTGCACTTTTGGCGATTATGAGTGAACTAAACTCAAATTTGAGTCGTTCTCATTCGCCGTGAGAACGTAACGAACGTAAATGAAGCCGATCTACTTTGTTCATTTGTCAACTTGTCACTTCCAACATAGTTTACCCATTTTTGGGTAGGTTCAGTGTTGTCCGATCTGTGTGGATTCTACCAAAATTTGGGTAGTTTTGAAATAGCGTGTACACACGACAACCGCAATCGCTCAATCTGGCAACGCAGCGCCAACAGCAATGTGTGTGTGCCTGTGCTTACTTCCATCAAATCACCATCCCTCCCACACCCTCTAAACACCCGTTCAGCATAAAACTGCATAAATCCAATAAGAAAAATCAAAATAACAAAGGACGGAACAAGAAGAACTGTCAAAACTGCTGTCAGTCTCCGAAAAGTCCGCTTGTGGTGGGTGCAAAATTTTGCAATGTTTTTGCAGTTTGGTGCGAATTTCTCTTGAATTTGGTGAATTTTCGGTGTATTTGAAGAAATTTTCGCAGTGCAACGTAAATCCGAATCGGCGAACGAGAGAATCCCCGTGCCATGGTGGTGTGATTTTAGGAAGAACCCTAGCTAGCTGGAAAATCAACAAGCCGCTTTTTACTATCGCGGCGTCTCTTGAATGGCATAAACAAAAAAGCGCATCTTGAAGCAATGGATCAATATCCGTACAGCATTCCGCCCGGATATCCGTACGCGGGAAATGCCCCTGAAAAGAATGTTAACATATCGGACGGTACAACCGTTCCGGGTCAAAATCCGTACTACATGAATAGCGACACCGCCGAAACAGCATCTTTCGGTTTCGATGCTGCTGCCCATCCGCAACAACAACAACAACAACAAATCTTTCAACCAAATACAGTTCCGATTCCAGCGGGGCAGACTAATGGGCAAATGCCAGCAGAAACCCCCGTAGGTTTCAGTCCGTTCGATAATCAGGCGACATTCACTAGCCAGTTGCCACCAGCACCGGTTTTACCAATAGGAGCGACAATTTCTCCGCCCAGTGGAATGGAGGGAATGTACGATCAGCAAAGTTACGATCCGCCAGGGAAAGTCAGTCAATCCGGCATGGCGCCTCCATCGTTGGACTTGATACAAGAAGTTTCGACGGTCGCTCCTGTGGAACAATCTTTGGGAAATGCGGTCTCCAATGAATCATCAACGACTCCGGAAGTCATACAAGATAATGCTGGATCGATCCCGAATGTAGTTGAGGGTGAGTATGTCATACACTTTTATAGTACAAACTGATCACAAATTTGTCAAATTCTGTAGAGATTAACATTAGATTTCGTAACGCACGCAGGTTTAGGTACTTGCTCGGCATCGTTTACCATCGGGGAATGGAAAATATTCTTCATATACATGCATATATCTTATGCATTTTACAGGAATTCTCCGAAGAGCGCGGGTGGGTGGTGCCGTCCTCGAACCCCTGATATAGGGTGCTATAGCTTTCGACATAGGATTTTTGTAGGACTTTTTCCATATCTCCTATCGACATCTAATGCTGGTTTCTATATGACATTAAAGCTTCATACTAGATCCTATTATCCATGCCAGAGATGAAGCAACTTTCCTGGTTTACCTTTGTTACGCTACCGAATAACTAGGGATTGAAAATCGGTTTAAACGTTACTTTTCGTCTGCGACAAATGGCAACCCACACAAACCATTTCACCTGTGTAAAACATTGTAAAACAGTTTCTGTGCACTGGAACTGTCTTAAATAATTGCTATTACATTAGCAAAAATCACCATCTCACATCGACATGAATCCGATCAACGTTGTTCATTTGTCAACTTGTCACTCCTAACACAGTTTACCCATTTTTGGGTAGGTTCAGTTTTGACCGATCTGGGTGGATTCTACCCAAATTTGGGTAGTTTTGAAATAGCGTGTAGTCAGCACTCGTGTTTTTTTTTCAGTTACCGTGGGGAAGTGATTTGTTATTATTCCTCCCAGTACCTACGTTTCAAATTGGGTTCTTTAAGGGTATTGAGGTAAATGCATATTCGTAATCTGCATTAAAAATGGAACCCAAACCCAAAATTACATCAATTTTGGCACACTGGAACTATTTTAAATAAGTACGATTACATTTGCAAAAAGTAGAAGGGTCTGTGCCTAGGGGAACGAACGGAAGCTTGACGTAGGACCGCTAGTAATTGATCAATCTATTATCTCAACTCATTCCGTTTTTTAATTGTAGGCGTACCAAATTTGTAGTATTTTTTTTTCAAAGAGAAAGTTGTTTGAGAGAATCAATCAAAATCACTTGCACCCCTGCTTTCAAGTTTGGTTACAAGATTACAACTTTGGAGAGCATTTTGTGTTTGTTTTTTGGGGGCTTGTGGTCTGAATATGGACAAACAAGCACAGATAAATTCTATTCCAACTCTCTACTGATGTAAGCTTGATGGCCCTGAAAAGGGCCGTTTTATTTAAGAGGACATCCATGGCCACTTACGCTTGGCGTGTTTAGTTGATGATGGTCCCACCTCTTACCCCTACAAAGGTTTGAGCTGGACGATTTATCTTTAAGATAATTAATTATTAGTGTAGGTGACACAAGCACGGACCTCATTTTCCAGGAACACCTTCAGCACACCTCGTAGATCAGACCGGAGATACGTTTGACACCACCACGGCGAGCCAGACGACCGATGGCGGTTATTTCGAAGAACTTTGCGATGACGCTTGGCGCCTCCTTTACCAGATTTTTTCCTCCTTTGCCACGACCAGTGAATTGTTGCTTGTTGAGTGGACTAGCCACCACCACGCCGTCCGAAGCGAAAATGAGCTAATGCTTAGTTTAGTTTAGTTAGTTTAAATGATCTTTATTTTAGTTTAACTTGGACGATTACCATATAAATTTTTACTAAGTGATTTAATTGCTTTCTTCATCTTTAGGTATGGGCAAAATTCAAAATTTGTTTTACAGAATTAGTCCTAGACTTAGTACACGGTCGACCACCTTGGTGGGATTGGTTTGTTTTGTTTTTAGAATTTGAAGAGAAACTACTTAATACTACTATTTACAGCTTAAAACTAACCTACTCTACTATATACACTTAACCTACTATGTACAAATTGCTTATTAAAGCATGTTCAGAAAGATTGCATTTTTGAATAAATTTAGTTGTCATATCATCAATTTTGGAATCTACTTTGGGAATTTCTGCCTCTTGATGGAGGTCTGCTATTCTTGTGTCGAATGGACGATCTAGGATCATCCTCAACACTCTATTCTGTGCAACCTGGATTTTGTTCCTGTGGGTCTGAGCGCACGATTCCCACACCGGGGCGGCATAGAAGATCGCGGGGGCTATGATCTGTTTGTAAACAGCCAGTTTGTTTTGCCTTGAGAGGCGGGATCTGCGGCAAATGAGCGGATACAAACACCTAACCAAGGCGGAGCACTTAACTAGGGTTTTCTCTATGTGCGAGCGGAACAGGAGCTTCTCATCGAACAACATCCCGAGATAAGTAACATCAGTGGACCACTCGACCCTTGTACCATCCATTATTACGGTACAGGAGGGAGACGGTTTAAGTTTTAATGATTGTCTGTGAAGGAACATGATCGCTTGGGTTTTCGAGGCGTTGATTTTGATTTTCCACGTGGTGGCATAATCAGTAAAGGGGTCAAGGCATCGTTGGAGCTTGTTCGTAATTTCACGAGGCATCCTATCCTTGACGGCTATCGCGGTGTCATCTGCAAACAGAAAGAACACGCAACCGTCTCCTAGAGGAGGGATGTCCGACGTGTAGATGCTGTAAAGCAGTGGTCCCAGCAGACTCCCTTGCGGAACACCTGCTGGGATCGGAAATTGTCCCGAAAGGGAACTATTCAACGACACCCTGAACGACCTTTGCTGGAGATAGTTACGGGTGATTTTCACAAGGTATGGTGGAAAGTTGGAGTTACAAAGCTTGTATATAAGTCCGTCGTGCCAGACATTGTCAAACGCCTTTTCGACGTCTAACAAGGCCATGGCTGTGGACTTGGATACAGCTTTGTTACTCCGGATGTTATTCATCACCCGCACTAGCTGATGATTGGTGGAATGCCCCTTACGGAACCCGAACTGTTCCGGAAGAAGAATGTCATGTTCCTCCACAAACTTGTTTAGTCGGCTGAGGATCAATTTTTCGAACAGCTTGCTCAGCGCTGAGAGCAGGCTAATCGGTCTGTAGCTTGACGGTAGTGAAGGGTCTTTCCCAGGTTTGCGGATCGGGATGATTTTTGCCACCTTCCAGATGCTTGGAAAGTAGTGCAGCTCCAAGCATCTGTTGAGGATGGCAGCCAGCAGCGAGTGCACCCTCGGGCTGAGATTTTTCAACGCTAGGTTGAATATTCCGTCAAACCCGGGAGCCTTCATGTTCTTACTGTATTTCAGCGCTGAGCAAATTTGTTCCTCTGTAATCCGTTCTTCTGGAGGGACGGCACAAGGGGAGGCATCTAACGTAAGGACGCACTGCGCAACCTGGTTCTCGAGTGGACTTGGGATTTTAGAGCCAAGCAAATGCGACTGGGCAATGTGCTCCCCAATCGCATTGGCCTTCTCTTCGTTGGTGATAAGCCGTTCGTCATTGACTCTAAGTGGTGGAATGGGCTTGGGGTGAGACTTCAGCACCTTGGCAACCTTCCAGAATGGTCTGGAACGGTCGTCCAGGTTCTGAACGAGCCGCCCGAAACTCTCGTTCCGGATTGAGACCATTCTGGAAGCGATCTGCCGATTCAGATCGACCATTTCGTATTTACGCTGCAGATCCCCAGTCCGCTGAAACTGGCGTCTACGAACATTTCTGAGCCGAATCAAGAGTTTGGTGTGGGAATCAATTGCTTGAAACTTACCCCTCACAGGAACTCGTCGAACGCACTCTTCGTCAGCCACGGATATGGCTTGATGGAGACCCTCCAGGGCCCGGTCGATGTCATCCACTGTGTCGAGCGGTGGGTTGTCGTCGATGTGGCGGTCGACCACGCGTCGAAACTGGACCCAGTTGACTCGATGGTAGTCCTTCCGCTGGCACGGTGCAGGGGCCACGTTGTAGCCCAGCTCGGTCAGCACCGGTTGGTGGTCCGAACTCAGGTCGTTGACGGCAACCGGCTTGGCTAATCTGGTGTTTGCCAAGAACAGGTCCAGCGTCGATGGGTTGCCCGTCGGTGATGTGAAGGTTGGTAAGTCCGGAAACCAGACGGAATAGAGACCATGCTGGGAATGGTCGAATAGCAGGCGGCCGTTCTGGTTCTGCTGGTAGTTCCGCCAGGCCTCGTGCCGGGCGTTCAGGTCCCCTCCGATTACAAAGCGGGCATTGGTGTGGGTTATGATGGCAAGGTCGTTCTTGAACTGCTGTGCTGTACCATTGCTAACGGTACATTGCCGGGGGCAGTAGACAACGATGAACCGGACGTTTCCGGTCGATGTTTCCACCTCAACGCCGACGGCCTCGATGATGGAAGTGTGGTAGTGGGGTAGGGTGCAGTACTTGATGCCTTTCTTGATGATGACCGCGACACCGCCCCCCCTGGAGCTGGTGCGATCAAGCCGGACAATGCTGTGGTCGGGCAGCCAGAAGCTGTCACCGGTCTTGAGGTGGGTCTCGGTGAGAAGGCCCACGTCGATGTCGTGCTTGCGGAGGAAGTCTGCAAGCTCAATGTTTTCGCCCCTACGGAGCGAGCGTTCCAGTTGGCGATCTTTATGGGTTCACGGTCCATAATTAGCGACGAAGGAGATGATAGCTTGGAGCTGTTGTGTTCTTGTTGCGCAGGTGCGCTTGATGATGATGGCCTGGGCCAACAGTGTGACGATCTCATCCGTTGACAGCGGAGAATCGTCTGTAGCTTCACCGGTTGTACCGGCCAATCCCGGAGCAGGGGGATCCGTCGATGGCCCGGAGGCTTGACCGGGTACTGCAGCGGCAGCCAACTGTTGGTTGAGCGGGAGCGGCGGCAACACTGGAATTGGCCGTGATTGGACCGGTGATAACGGAGGAAAGTTCTGCGCGTTGTTTTCTGGAACCTTCTTGCGACCGGGCTGGCTGTTGGACGAGGCCTTCTTCCGGATCTCGGCGTATTCGGCCCGCTTCGGACAGGCCTTACTCGTGGCCTTGTGGGCGGCACCGCAGTTGGCGCATGTGGGAGTGGCTTCCTCGATGCTGTCGCAGTTGTCGATCTTGTGGTTTTTGCCGCATTTGATGCAGCGGCT